CTCTGTCTGTCATCCGGGACTACCTGGTCCAAAAACTGCAGAAACAGAGCCAGCAGATTGCACAGGATGAGCTCCGGGTGCGGCGATACCGAGAGGAGACCACTCGTATCCGCCAGGAGATCCAGGAGCTCAAGGCGAGGTAGTTGGCATCTGGATATGTGAAGGGGTCCAGGGGATAACCTTGTTCTTCACAAAAGTAACATTAAATACTTTTCATAAACAAAAGATTATATGGAGTGTGTTTGAGCATTTCATGCTTAAAGTTCTGTTTTAATGGTGGAATTCCAAAGAATGGTTTATTACAGAGATCATTGTTTGTTGGGCTTTGGAGGATATTATCTTGTAGCTGTATTTTACATTTTATAAACACATCTAAGTTGTGGTTAGAAGCCATTTAGAAATAAAAACTTTGCTTTAGAAAATACAGAAAGTGGATAATGTATAAGTATATATAGTAGACATTAATGCCTACTCTTAAGTTTCATTAGCTCTTAACATTGTAAAAAACAATAATTCATTCCACAAATATTTTCTGAGCCCTTATTATGTCCCAAGCACTGTTCTTAACAACACAAAGATCCCTGGCTTCATGGAGCTTACTTACATTGTAGAGATAGAGACAGTAAACACGTTAAATAAGCAAAATATTATAGTATGTTAGATGGTGATAAGTTCTAAGGAGAAAATTGAGGAAAGGGAGTAGGATGAGTGTGTGTGTGTGTGTGTGTGTGTGTGTGTGTGTGTGTGAGAGTGTGAGGGAGATAATTTATAAGGTGTTTAGGAAAGGCCACACTGAGGGTCACATCTGAATAAAGACATAAAAGACAATTTTGTGGCAATTGTGAAAAATGAAAGAGAAAAATATCACATTGGGATAGCTGGACTTAATGGGAGCATACTGAGATTCACTGAAGGCCCAGTACTCATTTGACCTCTTTTTAGGTGATCTTGTAGTCTCTTAACAGGGTCCTCCCTCATTGACGCCAGCTGCTTTCTCGCTCCACTTGGCTGTTGGCCCTGCTCTCACTGTTTGCCACTTCTTTCTGGTCTCCCTTGTCTGCAGTCCGAAGATTTTTCAGAAGACCAAATGCAGCATCTGTAATAGTGCCTTGGAGTTGCCCTCAGTTCACTTTCTCTGTGGCCACTCCTTCCATCAACACTGCTTTGAGAGCTACTCAGAAAGTGATGCTGACTGTCCTACCTGCCTCCCTGAAAACCGGAAGGTTATGGATATGATCCGGGCCCAGGAACAGAAACGAGATCTTCATGATCAATTCCAGCATCAGGTGGGACAGAGTGGGGTAGATAACTACCCACTCAGAGAGTCATGGGAGCATTACAGGGGTTTTCTGTTCTCATTTAAGGAAACAAGTACTTCAGTTCTGATTCCTACTTCTCTCCTCTTTCCCTACAGCTCAAGTGCTCCAATGACAGCTTCTCTGTGATTGCTGACTACTTTGGCCGAGGGGTTTTCAACAAATTGACTCTGCTGACTGACCCTCCTACGTCTAGGCTGACTGCGAGCCTGGAGTCCGGGCTGCAGCGGGACCTGCTCATGCACTCCAGGAGGGGCACTTAAGCAGCTTGTGGGAGGGATGTGATAGTAGAGACACAGCATTAGGGACACAGGAGGACAGAGGCAGGGCTATTGCACAGGAGTCAGGCTGACATGGCCAAGACTCCACTCTGATCTGATGTGATAGCCTTCATGACTAAAGGGGACTTGCTTTTCCTGCCTCCTCTGGCCAGCCTGCCGTTCTCCTGTTGACTTTTTGAGCAGTGTAGATCATTCCAGATCAGCGGGGGAGGGTACCTCAGCAACCTCTGAATATGGACAATAGTTGCTTTATTCTCTACCCAAGAGCACCAGGCTGTGCTTGGGTCCTTGCTCCCAGAGTCTATAAATAAAAGGGTTGAAGGACTTACTCGGGGGACTTCCTGGTGATTCTTTTGTTTTTGTTTTTATTATTAGTTTCAGGTCTGATTCTTAACTAAAAATGTACTTCTCTCCCTGTGCTCTCCTAGAGCTCCACTTCCCTTCTTACAGAGCTCCTTAAAGGTCATTCCAGTGTTGAGTGGAGCCTGTGGCATCTTAAGTAGAGTTCAGTTTACTGAAGAACCTCTGCAAAAGACCTAATGCCTAAGCTCCAAGAGCAGCCTGGACTGAGTCCCCCAATCAGTTCCTACTCTTTAGTTTGGCTCTTGTTTGGGCTTTAAGTCTGCCTTTATAGTGGGTAGGCCAGAGCCTTTCCCTTTTCAGTACCAGATGGTAAGCAGGATAAAAGGGCCTTTATTGAAACATTTTTCCCTCTCAAGTTATCTGCTGAAGTTTATGTTGCTGGTGTTGCATGTAATTTGGGTGATGTCACCTGTCAGAAATTGCTCCTATGGGGTTGTTTAATTGAAGAAAGCAACTTGGACATGGTGCTTTAGGTAGTATTTAGAAGAGTGCAAATGTAGGATCAGCTGACCTGACTTTGAATCCTAGTTTGACATAGAACAACTCTTACCTCCTCTTAACCTGTTTCTGTATCTGTACATTAGGAATTATGGTACCTTTTTTTTATGGGTATTATGAAGGCCTAAGGAACGAATGGGTATCCAGTTCTTTGTATAGTGATTAGTGCATGGGTGCTTAATACATGTACATGGTCGTTAGTAATGTCAGTGGGTAAAGCACTTTTTTGGGGTTTTTAAAAAGATTTTATTGGGGAATTGGGGAAGGGGAACAACCAAGTTGTCCTTCAATCTTAGTTGTGGAGGGCACAGCTAGCTCAACTCCAAGTCCAGTTGCCATCCGGCTGCCCATCGGCAGCTGGCAGCCGCTCAGTTCAAGGTGCCGTGTTCAATCTTAGTTGCAGGTGGGTGTAGCATCCCATGTGGGAGTCAAACCAGCAACCTTGTTGTTAGGAGCATGTACTCTCGCCAGCTGAACTCAGTGGCAACTGACAGCTTGGGTGCAGCTCACTGGCCCATGTGGGATGCAGCTCACTGGCCCATGTGGGAATCAAACCGGCGACCGTTACTCAGAGCTCGCTCTCTTAACTAACTGAGCCACTCGACCAGCCCCAAAAGCACTTTTTCTAACAAGCCCTTTTTTCCATGTGGTTGGCCCTCCCACTTCAGTTATTTGTCTATAGGCATGATCTTTAATTTCTGAACCAGTTTCCTTATTTTAAAAATAGAAATGTTGCCTA